CGAAGAGTGAGTGTATGTGGTGCATTAAAACTGTGCAATGTGTGGTGAGTGAACTAAATGTGGTTTAGGAGGCCAGGCCAGTGTAGGCCCGGCCCGAGGGCTGGAGGGATGGATGGGAGGGGCCAGGAGGTGGCGCCAACCAGACCCCGGCGCCACGAGGCCCCCAGTGCCCATGGACAGCGGGCCAGGCGGGCCCCAAGGAAACCCAACGGGCCCCCACCTAACCCCGCCCCCCTGGCAACTGCAACGTCAGGCCCCCGCAGTGGTCCCGACCTGGGCCACACCGCCAGCAGCAGATCGGCCCCCAGCAGAAGGACAAGGCGCGCCACCAGGGTGCACGGACGATGGGCCCCACCCAGCCCCCCCGAACCCTGACGCGCCAGAGCACAGACCAACCCGCAACCCCGCCAGTCCCCCCCCAGACCGCCACAGACCCAAAGCCGGACCCCCATCCCATCCGACCCGCCCCCACCGGCGGCCGCACACCAACGGGCAGGCCCACACTGTGCAGCACCAGAACACCCCCCGTGGGCAGCACCCAGCCCCCACGCCAGGCCCCGCAACCCAGGGGAGGACCCCAGGCCCACCCGAGGCCGGGAGAGAGGAGCAGGGAGGGACGGGGAGAGGGGGGAGGGAAGAGAGAGGGGTAAGGGCAGGAGCGGAGCGAAGGGGGGGGGGGGAGGAGGCTTTGGCTCCATATTTCAGCTCCGGAGGTTGCTGTTTGTTTAAGTAGAGTCTGGTGGGTTTAGTGAGGAAGAGGGGCTGTTTCTGGTTAAACAAAAAAGTATTTAACGCTAATGGTGTTGAGTAACATTAGCGCTGCTGTACTGTCTCAAAATGTGCATGGAATTCACTAAAGTACGCTAGTCTACTACATCATAGCGTGAATGGCTGTAGGGTAGTGATATCATGGTATGTTATGTGGGTTAAAAAAAAACATGCTTTCCTGGCATTTACAGACTGGGGGGAAGGACTTTGTTTTTTTAGGAAAAGGCTACTGCTTACCAGTTACCAAAGATTATCAGTGTAAGTTCTTTGCAGCGCGTATCCTCAGTAGTGGAAATGGTGGATAAGGGAACAACCAACCTAACAGTGGAGACTGTAGTAGTTGTGAGGCTCAGAGTAAAATAGAAAGTAATCTGGTTGTCTTTGCAACAGCAGTGCCAACAACAAAACCACTTGCAAACGACTGGGGGAGAAAAGGTGAAAAAAAAGTTGAATATCTTTAGGTTTTGGACTGTAGGTTGGGTGTTTCTTGGGCTACTTGGAGTTGTGATGGACATTACCTCATCATTTCCTGCCATTTTATGGACTAGACAATTCACCGATTAACCGAAAAGCTTGAGGTTTTGTCTTTAATTGCCAAACTGTTTCATGTATTTGCCTTTCTCCCTGCAGACCTCTCACTCCTCTCCTCTTCCTCAGGTTCTGACACTTACACTCCGAAATCAGATGAGGCCAAGCTCTTCTGTATCTTCTACTGCACCCTGGGGATTCCCCTCACCCTGCTCCTCCTCACCCTCCTCTCCAACCTCCTCCTCCCTGTCATCACCCACGTTCCTGTCCACCACTTGCACACTTACTGGGGTTTGCCCTATGACCGGGCCACCTCTGTCCATGCTGGCCTCCTCTCTGTGCTTGTCCTCTTCCTCCTTTTCCTCGTCCCTGCCCTCCTGGTCTGTGTGCTGGAGCCCGACTGGAGCTTTCTGGATGCTCTTTTCTTCTGCTTTGTCATCCTGAGCACTGTTGGCCAGGGAGGAGACGCTCTTGGGAGAACCTGGGGCCCGACAGCCAAGGAGACACTCCAACTCCTCACCACATGTAAGTGCATGTGACTAGATGTCCTCTCTAAACAATTGCATTTTATTGATTATAATTGTATCATTGTAATGTAAGTAATATATTGAGCTGTGATATCAGTTCAAGAAAATACTAAGAATTATGACCAACTCTACAGTTTCCCTCATCTCTAGATATAGATACAGATATTTCAGTTGGTGGAGACAAAAAACTGTTAAAACAGAGTAAATATTGGACTAACATTCATCAAGTGAACACAAGGCAATCGATGCTAATGTTGCTCTGTGTCTGCTGTCATGTAAAAACTGCATGTCAAACTGGGATTATCAGCTTGTTGCAGTTTTACCCCAAAGTGGCCAAAAAAACCCTAAAAAAGAATGCAATTTTAATACTAACTAAAGATGAACGCTAGATCTTCTAGTGACAGTTAGCTGTCATATTGTAGTTAGCAAACCAACAGCCAGATACTGCAGTTCCTCTAATGGCCACTTGAGGTTTGCTCCAAGAGCGAGTCAATCCCCATAGACCCCCATGTTAAAATTTTTAGTTAATTTCTCCATTCATGACAACGGTAGGGGAAAATTTTTTATGTAACTCACTGGTTTAAATGTTATCAAGAGTATAAGTACGGAAAATTAACCATTTTGGGTGAAGGTGGAGGCCTACGCTGACCAGATGCTGCTACAGCGGTAATGTTGGTCAGGTAGACCTAACATAACCATAACATAACCCCAGGTTCACTGACTATAGGTGCAGCCATGGTGTTTTCAGTTCATGAAAGTTAATTGTAAAAGTTTGGTCGTCGAAAAAAAGCCAGCGTTTGGTTGCAGTAACAGATCTGGTCAGTTCTGGCTCCAAAAAAGCAAGATGGTGACGGCCAAAATGCCAGACTTTAAGTGTCAGAACAGGAGACCACAAACCCATGTGTGACATCATGATAGCTACATCTTTTACTTTATACAGTCTATATATATAGGTATGATAGCAATCTAAGAAAGGTTGGAAAACTGCAACCAATGAAATGGTGGAACGAACGACATTACAGGCACTTTCAGGCCCACAGCCAGGATTTTAGAAATACTGAGTTCTGGAGGTCAAATATTCCTAAGGCATTTTTGACAAGCCATCAAAACCTCTCTTTTTGATCGACTTTTTAATGTTATCCTAAATGTGCATGTTGACAGACAGAAGAAGTAGTTTAGAAATCCCTCTGGGGGTAAATAACTTTTTTTTTTTTTTTTTTTATTCTGTTGTCATTACACACATGCGTTAGTTATAGAGAGGTGCCAGAGTGATGAGACAAAGTCATTAAAAGATAATGGAGATATATTTATATTCTCCTCTCTCCACAGGTTACCTGCTGGTGGGCCTGGTGGTGATCATTACCTTTAAGGATACGGTCCTGCAGGTTCCCCAGGTCTGTGCAGTGATGAGGCTCTTCTCTGGTCCGCACTATACAGAGCTGAAAGGTGTCCGTCTCAATGAACTGACACTGAGTGAAGAAAACTGTGAGGAGGAGCCTCAGTACTCCCAGTCCGTCTGCACTGTCTCCTCTACCCCATTAGAGCTGATGAGCCCACGCTCACACAGAGCCAGACCCTCCACTGCCAAAACCACCTGACCCTCACACACAACCCATCAGTTTCTGACTTACAGCTTTTGTGAAGTGTTTCAATTTTTTTTGACAGGCTCCATAAATAAACAGTAATTTTATCATTGTAAAACACACCGCATTCAAAGTGGACAGAAACAAAATAAAACTCACAAAAGTCATCTCGGCTCATCTTTTCACTATTCCAACAATCACCACCTCTGGTTGGGTTGAAATAAACACTTAACTCATCTAGTTAGGTGTGAAAATATGCTGGCTCTATAAACACTAAAATTACTGTTTATTTAAATGAAGTCTGGTGGGACTGGTGCTGGCGATTTCGGGGCTGTTTCTGACTAGATAAAAACGATCTTTCTCATCAAAAAAGTCTACCTCTGTGAGGTCAGACACTCAGTAACTTATTATTATTGGATGTACACTGTCAGTGTACAAACGCCCTGAGTGTTTACATTGCAACCTGTGTCACCTCTGCCTGCTGCAGCGTTCTCGCTCCATATTGGACCAATTTCAAAAATTGCTGTTCCCATTAGTCACATAGAAACAAAGACCTGGTAAAGTAGGATCCGGGTGTAAAAATACTGAAGTTACCCTTTAAGGGGTGCAAAATGAAAACAATAAGCTAAAAGAGGCTAAAATGCTCAGCAGAGTTGAGGGGAGCTGCAGAATTGGGGATAATTCTTGATTGTTTTTTTTTTACTATGAGCCATTTCTTTCACACTAAACATAAATATTTTATAATTTTTTCAAATGTTAGCTCAGTTTTAAATTTGATTTTGTCCCTCGGTTGATTTACCCCACCCACAATTCCACTCCCAGATTGTTGGGTCAGATAACAGCACCATCTGCTCTGGTCAAAAAATATTGCCAAACCCCTGTTGATACATAGATGTGTAACCCCCTGAGTGATTTTCTTTATAAACCATAGGATATGTTCCATGTATTCTGTGTATTGTTATATAATATACTGTTTAAATGTCTGTAACCATTAACATTGAGAGTGGCATAATTTACTGGAGACAGTGAATGCAGCATGAGAAGTTTGTTTAAAAGGTACAGTGTTTACAAGTGGCAAGCATAACTGCCTGAGACCTCTGCTGACCTCACCAGGAGAAAACATCAGCACCATTGAGTGGACTGAAAAAGCAATTATTTATTATTCTAATACAAAAAGTTGTATTAAAATGTGTATTTGCAAAAATGAGGAATGTATATAAAAAAAGACTGATACTTAGCATCTGTGAATCAATATAATATGGCCAAGCAAAATATTGCAATTCTATGCTGTATTTAGAGAGTATGGGATATTTATAATGTCAGAGCTGTTGCTGAGCTGAACATTACACTTTTTCTTTCTTTTTCATTTTTAATTTTATCAGGTTTGAGTCCCCCAACTGCATTGATATTAATATGTTTAAAAGCCAACAAAGCTGCTGAATGACTCAATGTGGCCTGTATAGATAAGAGGGGTGTGGAAATCCCCACACATGCTGAGCCTCACACTGCTTGTACAACCAGGACCGTCTCTAAGGATTTTCTAACTCAACCTAATAATTTTTGTCAGTTATTTCAGATTGTTTCAGCTGTTGTGTTGTCTAACTTAAATGTGTTCTTCTGTTCTACCTGTAGGAAGACTTGCTCCATATTACCTTCAATCAGAATCTAGCAGAAGATCTTTAAAGGTAAAGTATCTACTAGTGAATTGCAGATGGAAAACCAGCATAAACTTATCCTTAGAATTCCTTCAGTGTTCATCACGTGGGAGGTTTTTTATTGGGAGCCGAATTATCCACAGAAGTCTCCTCCTCTCCAAAACAAACAGAGCCGGTGATTTAAACTGGTAAAAACACAGAGGAATGCAGTGTCACGTTACAAATTCATATATTTCCGACGCAGTCTGACATGTCACTGCGGGTGGCTAGTCCAATGTATGCCAGTGTGAGGTCACTTTTTTTATGATAAGATCCAGACATTCAGGGGATTTTCACAGGAAGCCTAATTATCCACAAATGTCTCTTTCTCTCCAAAACAAACGAACCAGGGGTCTCATTTATAAACATAGCATACACACAAAATGAGGCCTGAAAGAGGCGTACGCACTTTCCACAGAAAAGTTGTGATCTATAAAGACAGACCTGATGGAAGGACTTTTGATGCATGCTTATGCACATTTTGAAGATGGGAAATTGGCGACACAGATGGTGAGGTTGAAGCCTGACTGTAGAAATTGTCGAATATTTTTTGGTGCGTGCCATTTTTGGCTTTTGTCTGTACGTACAGTACATATTGAGTCTGGATCCTAGGCACTGTTTTATAAACGAGAATGATTTAAACACTGGAACACTGAGTAAAGCAGTTTCATGTTAGAAACCCTGGTGTCACTCAGTGCAGTTGGGCTTCTTACTATGGTGACCGACACAAAAACACTGTGTCCCTATCTGGAGCCAGTGTTTGGTTTGTCTTTTCTGGGCTACTGTGATCTCCATAAATGGAGACTTGCTCCCTATGTAGATATAACAGCTCATTCTAAAGTAAGGAGAACACAGTAATTCCTATTTTCAGGTGATTATACACTAAAGAAAACATACTTCTTACATTCCATTTCTGCCATTATATCTCCCTAAATCCTACACACTGGACCTTTAAAGTATCATTCCACCAATTTGGAAGGCAGATCAAAGACAGAATGGTCAAAACGAAAGCAGCAGATGTATCCTGATTTTTCGTCCTCAGTATGGATCGTCTACTTCCTGTGATGTAACTCAATAATGCTGCATCCAAAGGGGAAGAAATCCAAGAAATCAGACAATCACACACATTGCAAACAAACCCTTTGGTTGGACAAATATCCTTGAAAGAGAAAATGAAAGGTTAAATTATGACCCAAACTGTTTTTATAGTTTCAAGATGCACCTTCTGCTTCAACCTTGAGCTGCTAGCAACATTTCAGATGTGCCAATGTTCAGTTTGACCTGCCATTAAAGTGATTTAGATAATCTGGATTAACTGTTGGATTGTTTCCAACCAGTCTAATGGTCTGACTGCTGATGTTGTCCCAGCAGACTTCATTGTAGCAATTTGTAGAGAGAGGTCTCAGCAATTACTTTGGTGAGTGCAGTATAACCGTAACTAATGAATAAAATGGAATTCTTCTTTAAGAGGGTACTCCACTGATGTACCATTACACTCCCTATAGATGGTCAAAAACAGGGTTAAAATGTGTGCAGTGGAACCACAGATATCTTTTTTTATTTTACACATTCTTGCGAAATCTGGTGCTTACATTACCCAAAATGCAACTCAACCATTGACAGCTGGGTGGATGATTGGGGTGTGTTATGCTAGTAGCATAGTAGCAGCTAATGTAGCCTGGAGCCTTGAGCATGCAGCAGAGATGAGAGTCTACAGAGCAGAGCCCTGCACCGGGTCAGGTACCCATATATA